GCCGCTTCGCCCGACCCTCGACGAGCGCCAGCGAGCCAAGGGACCGAACGTCTCAGTTGTGGCTGGAACCCTGTTAGGTAAACATATTCTACGTCCGCCGAGAAGGTGAGGAAACTTGCGTTCGTGAGCATTGTTAACTAGTTCATTGTTAACACGAGCATATTTAAATAATAGATAAACACACTGAGCTGCATTGCCTATGTACTCATGTGTCTATCTAAATTTGTCTATGTGTATAAATATGTATATATATATATATATATATATATATATATATATATATATATATATATATATATATATATATATATATAATGTCTGTCTGTCTGTCTGTCTCTCTCTCTCTCTCTCTCTCTCTCTCTCTCTCTCTCTCTCTCTCTCTCTCTCTCTCTCTCTCTCTCTCTCTCTCTCTCTCTCTCTCTCTCTTCTTTCTCTCTCTCTCTCTTTCTCTCTCTCTCTCTTTCTCTCTCTCTCTCTTTCTCTCTCTCTCTCTTCTCTTTCTCTCTCTTTCTCTCTTTCTCTCTCTTTCTCTCTTTCTCTTTTTCTCATTCTCTTTCTCTTTCTCTTTCTCTCTCTTTCTTTTTCTCTTTCTCTCTCTTTCTCTTTCTCTTTCTCTTTCTCTTTCTCTCTCTCTCTCTCTCTCTCTCTCTCTCTCTCTCTCTCTCTCTCTCTCTCTCTCTCTCTCTCTCTCTCTCTTTCTCTCGCACTCACTCACTCACTCACTCACTCACTCACTCACTCTCACACTCACACTCACACTCACACACACACACACACACACACACACACACACACACACGCAAGCACGCGCTCACGCACACAACTCTATATATTCAGTAGTTTCATGAATTACACTGAGCCTGTATCGGTTGTATAAAGTTAGGAAAGTAAGTGTAACTGCGTGAGTGAAAGTTGCGATGACGAAGTGCCTGTAAGTGGGTCCGGAAGTCCAAGCCAGTGTGCCAAATGCCGATTAAAATCAGAAAGCTGAATCTAGATTGCACTAAACATTGGGTGTATATTTGCCGAGAATTATGAAAATGAAGTCGATAAAGAAGTTAAAACAACATATAAATATTGTTATAAATGTATTTGTTTAACACTTCTGTGAGACGAAGAACAGACAGTGCGCACCGTCGGCGGCGCAGCGACACTTGTCAGGGAGACAGATCTCGCGTCACGACACCCACGGAGGTGAAAGGACGACGTGCGCAATGCAGAACCGTATTGTTGTCACAGGAAAAGGTTTCCAGATGAAATCCTGGCGTCCAAACAATGCTTACACGGGTGTACTTATGTCTCATAGTTTATCTATGTATTTGTATATATACATGTATCTTGATCAATGTGTATACATTGTTGTTGTATGTATTATAAACCGGAAGTCAGGCTTCATTCGCATACAAGGCGCAAATAAGTTTTTAGCCTTTTCATATATAACATTAGTATATCGATTTGGCCGAGGAACTGAATTGTGCTTTCAAAGAAAACAATCCATATCGGATCAACGGCGTGGACTGTGGCGTTGCCCATTGTCTATCGGAAATTTTACCTAGAACTTGAATCTCGGGAAGTTCTCAAGGAGGATGGAAAGGGTATGGCGGGCTTGTGTATGTGATAAATCGTTCACATCCAAAAATAAGGGAAAACGCAATTATTATCCTGTAGCCATTTTCCACAACATATCCATTTGAATGACGTTTCTCCTCACTTCTTCATGCAAAAGGTAAAAGCCAAGACCGGTCGGTTGTGGACCTAGATGAGATGTGCTCTGACTCGAAGTAATCGTCGAGTGAAAACCAACAGTGGCATGGATGTGTATCAGCACAGAGATTCTGGTTATCACAGTAGCTGTAGCATGAGAATACATAGAAAACAATGCAGTTCAGGAACTCGAGAGAGAGAACTACTGAAGGGAGCCACAAAGATGCCCAGATTCCTTGTTATGAGTAACAGTTGCGTTGACTTCGTGGAGGCCATTTTAAGGAGGATAAGAGAGGAGGTTGCTTTCACAGCAAAATTATTTTTCTTCAGGGGCGTTATCCAGAAGCACTAACGCTCGGTGTGCGCATTCTTCCACAGATCGAGAATGAAGCTTGCCAGCGGCCACGAGGTGACTCCCCTGGAGGGCGAGGAACTGGCGAGGCAGGAGAGGGACTGGACCGGATACACCGAAGGCATGGTTCGTCTTCACCCCGGAAGCTGGGTCTTCCCGGCGCCTTTCACAGATTATGCTAATAAGATATACAACTTTGAGGTGAGTGGAGGGTTCGAATTTTTATTCAGAAATAAGAGTATATTAATGAGGACATGGAGTGAGACGGTAGACGTGTATAAAGAGACTAGATTCTTCATATGAGTTACCTTCCCCATCAGGTGAAGCCGAGTGACGTTATGGTGGTGACTTGGCCCAAATGTGGCACTACCTGGGTTCAGGAGGTCGTGTGGACCATGAGGAACAACCCGAACCTCGACCACCCTCAGGCGGCTCTGCCCGTTAATGCCCGCGTGCCTTTCCTTGAGTATGTGTTCTCTGTTCCCTCTCTCAACTGTCCATCTCTGTGCCATCCAGCAAAGCCTACATTTGTTTATTTCATCTTTAGACCTCAGGCAGTTATTTTTCACAAGAATAAAATTTGATGGTTAAAATATACAACAGTTAAATAGGTAATATTTTTTAATGAATCCTCAGGTTTGACATGTTGATGCGTTCCAAGAAACTGACCCCCCCTGGTCCCGACCATCCCATCATGCAAGGCTTCAATAAGCTGTGTCCAGGGAAGAACCCCGCCGACGGCATCTTCGTGCAGATCGGCGAGGCCACTCCCGAGCCCCGGACGCTCAAGTCCCACCTCCCGCTGTCGCTCCTGCCGCCAGCCCTGGTGAACGTTGGCAAGGTATGGCTGCCGTCACGCGAATCTTGGCCCGAGTTTCTGATGAGAGTAACAGTTATCTTGGCAACTTTTAGATGTTTAAGTAAGCTAATGCTCAGTGTCACTAGCTATAAAGTACTTCAAACTAACATTAACTTGCTTAGAATAGTAAGACAAGAGAATATTAGAAAAAGCTTCATCAGTCATGTATTTACTTCTATTTTGTAATTTCTTTAACTCAAATTGTAAAGCGACTGTCGTGCTCATTCCAATTTAAGCTTTGCCTTCATTTTTTAAGGATAGCATTGACATATCACTACAGTTTTAGTTTTTCTGTAATTGCACGTGGTAAAATGATCAAACTGAATGAATCTGAAAATGATAAAATATTCTATCCCATTAAAGTCCCAAAACAAATGTAAAAGTGGATGATAGGCAAGCACTTGCATTCTAGACAATATTCCGGGCGCCACCACTCGCGTTACGAAGAAGGGATATTGTTACACTTGTAAACATTTGTGAGCATGAGAAATGGTGAAAAGTCTCGGTGCTGTCCAAATAAAAAATTATTCGGTATCCATTACCATATCCATCTACATAGCAATACTTCATTCAACAGGTCGTTTATGTGGCAAGGAACCCGAAAGACGTATTGGTGTCTTTCTGTCATCATTCAAGAATTTTCAAAAACCATAATTACGTTGGAAGTTTTGAGGACTTTGTTAAATATTTCATCGACGGGGACTGTAAGTATAAGTTTTGTAGATTCATGAGTGATTTATGTAGTCGTTCTATGTGATAATTCTGCATTTACTCAATGCATGTATATTTTTCCTTCAGTGGTGTATGGACCTTATTGGCAGCACCTGAAGGAAGCCTGGGAGAAGAAAGATAACCCTAATCTACACTTCCTCTTCTACGAGGATTTGAAGGAAAATAACATGGAAGAACTAAAAAGACTAGATGATTTCCTTGGCACTAAACTCACCCAAGAGCAGCTGGACAATGTAAGCAGTGCAAGCACCCATTTGTAGATCGAATTTAATCCGAGAGGTCATTGCTTTGTTTGATGATTGTTACTGTATTAGCCTGTAATTGTGATGTCAGTTCAGAATTCGTGCTAAAACTCGTCTGGTGGTTCTTGCAGGTGGCTCGCCACACAAGCTTTTCTCAGATGAAGGCGCGTGATTCTGTCCTCGGAGGCGGAGACATGGAGGCCGTTTTCAACATGGAAATCGTCAACAAGGACGGCGGCTTCTTCAGGAAGGGTGCGTTAACAGTGACTTAAGAATATTGTGAATTTCGATAATTATTTGGAGGAACATAGGTTATAACCAAGTCCAAAGTGATAAATGTTCACCAAGTAATGTTTTGTATCTGCAGGTGAGGTGGGAGACTGGAAGGGGAAGTACACTCCCGAACTGGAGGCCAAGGTCGACGACTGGATCAAGTTGCGCCTCTCGGACATGGGCATCGGCTTCAAATACTCGGTGTGAGGCGGAGGCACAAGAGGCGATTTGCCTCCACGATTTTGCTCGAGATATTCAGAGCTTTGATTGATTCGTACACAGAGATCGCTGAGTATTTCATTATTGGAATTATATTGTACTATTTTATTCTGAATGGTATTGTAATTATAACAGATGTTCCTACACATTTTAAACAAGTTACATTATTTCTACTTTAATTTATAAACGTGAACACTTATCACAGTGGAATGGTAAATAAAAGTTAAAATCATATGTTTTGTTATTTAGTACTGTATAGATAAGTTTCGATTATTTTTATGGAGTTACCTGGGGTTAACAAGAGCACAACAAATAAGGCATAGCTTGAATAAATATCGCTTTGTATCCCAAAGCGCTTTCTCCCCAAGCCCTTTGTTGCCGTGTGGGAAGGGGGAGGGGGGGATTAGGAGATGGGAACTGAGACCTAATGCTGGGGATCACACCTTCCTTGGACCTCAGCCCTTGACACCATCTTTTCCTCTTTTCGTTTACCAGTCATGAACAGGCTGGGGGAGGCATGGGCATGGTGTTCCCTGCTTAGTTGTATATCATTTGCCCCTGAAAGGGACTCTGAGGGAGGGACAATTTCTCTCCCCAACATATCCTAGGATTATCATGGCCAGTAATAAATACTATACCATTAATAGGAGCATTAAGGCTTATCTTTTTATCAAATATCCCCACTGATTTCAATGCCAGGTATCCTTTAACCATGACTCTGAATACTGTTACTACTGCCCCCTCCTCAATACCTACTATCACATCAGCCCAGTCCAAATCATCCATCCAGGAAACTGGCCCCCTCTCCCAATATCCACCTCATCTCTTCCACCCCCACAACTTTGTTCATCAACTACCCCATCCTCCCTTATTACTATTCATGCAACCTTATTGTCCACCACTCCCCAGTACTACCTCTTTCAACACTTCTCCCTCTTTCACATGTCCCTGTCCTTCTGCTATCTCCTCCTCTACAAATATCTTGAATGCTCTGTTTAGCCAAGCCAAATGCGATCGATATTTCGTAATCTGACATTACTCTCCCCTTCCAGCAACGCCTCCAAAAATAAGTAAGCTCATTCCTACCCAACTTCATCCCTTCCTATATACTTGTGCCGGGACTGTCCCCGTCTTCCCAACAAACTGCCCTGTCTATGACAAGGATTGGTACCCTCATCAATATTGCCAGAATTACTTTCTGTAGACACAAACTCCCCTTTAATGTTTACCTCTCCCAGTCAAATTCTTTTACCATTCTAAATTCAGACTCCCCAATCTCCAGGACCATTCCAGACACTCCAGTCACTACTTCCCCGGTACCTAACCCTCTTCCTCCTCGTCCAACTCATCGCACTCCATCCCATCTTCTCCATCAACCTCTCCCTCCACCCCTCAAACATCTGTCCCCTGTTCTTCCCCCATAAGAAACCTTTATTTCCCAGACCTCCTATCTTTCTACTCCCATTCCTTCTACACTCAAAGTAACTGCCGATATCCATCCTCTTCCTACTCATGTTGCCCCTACACCCCTTCCTCCCACTCCTTCCCAACACATCCCATCCTCCCCTGCTTCAGGTGCATCAGCCCCCCACCTTCCCCATTACACCTCCCACTTCATAACATAACAACCCCCTTCCCTGGATTCTCTCCCTCCAGACATTCTCCCAGAAACGATGTTTTAATTGCCATTGAATCCCTCTCTCCTTTGCTAATCCCTACCTTTCCATACAGACATCCATGCAAAATCCCACACATCTTCTTTTAACATCTTTGATTTAATAATACTTACCTTTGTGAACTGCTGTACGACTTCTGATGTAATCATCAATCATCAATTAACCCGCCTCTCTACCCTTTCCACATTACACTTTTCTATAGTTCTATATGACATTTGGTGTCTTGCACATATAATTTGCTTTGTAACCATTAACCACCCCAAATCGCTTTGAGAAGCATTATCTACTTCGTCTTTCAGGTGTATATGATATATATATGATACATATGTGTATTATAATGAGATGTAGGAAGTATGATATATATATAGCATACATATAATATAAGTGGCAGAGTCCAGTACACTCCATGAAGGGCTTTACCTCCACACACATCCCCCAATCCCCCCCCCCCCATCCCTTGCCCGTTGTTGTCGTGGGGGGGGGGCTTAGGAGGCGGAGACTGGGACCCAATGATGGGGAACTCCCCACGGAATCCGAACACTGCAACAACTACCCCCTCCTCAATGCCTACTAGTACAGTAGTCAACACTCAACCCCCTAGAGACATTTCTGCTCTCCCAACATGCTCAACTTCAACACCTCTACCCCCACAACCTTCTACATCAACTACCCCATCCTCCCTTATTAATACCTTACAGCCTTATTGCCCACCTCTCCATAACACTACCTCCCTCAACACTACTCCCTCTTCGACACGCCCCCGCCCTTCTACTACCCCTATCTCTACAACAATCTTAAATACTCTATTTAGCCCAGCCAAATGGGATCGATTTTTCGTGATCCCTCCCACAGCTCCCTACTCTGACAACACCCTTCTCTTCCAGCAATGTCTCCAAAACAAGTAGGCAAAGTCTCCCGCTCCCGTCTCGTCACAGTAACATCCGAAAACCAAGCTATAGCATTAGCAAAACTTACTGATCTATATGGTAATCCCATCCTTGCAGAACCCCATCCAACCCTCAATACTTGCATTGGAACTGTTTCTATCTCCCCAGCAAATTGCCCAATCTATGAAAAAGATTGGTCAGATTGTGGAGAAGACTTACTCGCCTGTCTCACAGACTATGATGCGACATCAATGCAATGCTACTCCATTCTTCCCAGAGGTCATCGTAAGAAACTTGCTAACATCGCCAAAATTACTTTCCGTAGACATGACCTTCCCTTTACATAGTTGGAGAATCCCTCCCTCTCCAACCATACCAACCTCCTCCTCGTCAGTACCAAAATTGTTGGCGTTTAGGACACCCAGCCAAACAATGCCGTTCTACAGCCAGATGCCCACTATGTGCCCAACCTGGCCATACTCAATCAAACTGTTCTGCACAATCACGCACATGTGCCAACTGTGGTGGCCCTCATAATGCATTTTTTAGGGGCTGCCCCACCTACAAATTTGAGTCTGAGGTAGCAACTCTAAGATTCAAACTTGGACTCACACTATGTGAAGCCAGACAGGAAGCACGCCGACGAGATTTTTCACTTAATCCCTACTCCAGTAATATTGCTCATTCTACCACTTCCCCTACCTCCCAATCTCCTACACCCTCTCCTAAACCTACCCCTCCTCCATCTAACTCCCCCTCTTCTACCTCCTACCTTCCCCAGTCAAACTCTTTTGCCATCCTAAATCCAGACACTCCAATCTCTACTACAGACACTCCAATCTCCACTACAATCCCAGCACCTTCCCCTCTCCCTCCCTGCACTACCTACAACAGACAGAACAAATGTTCCACCCCCTCTTCCTCTACCACACAATCATCTCCACCTTCCTTTGCCCCTACTCTTGAGACACCAGTCTCCTCTTCCCCCCCTCACAAGAAATCCTTTATCTCACAAAACTCCCCAACCAACTCCACTGAAGAAACTCTTGAAAATATTCAAGACTACTTAATGAAAACTGACACTCATCAACCTTCAAATCCTACAACTCCTGCTCCCTCCACACACCAAGTGACTGCCGATATCCATCCTCCTCCTAACGATATCCCCCCTGCACCCTATTCTCCTACCCCCTCCCAACACAGCCCATCCCCCCCGACTCCGGCCCCGCCCACATTAACCCTCCCACCATCCCCTCTATCTCTTCCACTCCCTCCTGGATACACACGTGAATCCACACACGTGAATCCTCCCCCCCCTATCCTCCCTTCACCGACCTCCCAACCCATCAGACATCCTTACAGAATCTCACATTTTCTGCTTCGACAACCTGTTTTCCTTCCTCAAACGCATAAATATCCTTCACTTAATCTAACCCCTTTACATTACCTCACCTGACCTTAACCCATTCACTCACCAATTCCTTTGCCCAGACAACTAATCACTAACTTAACAACCCTTCACTAATATTTACTATAGTGCTACATGACCTTAGATGTCTAACACATTCATTTTGCTTTTAACCATTAACCATTAACCACCTCCTCCAATCCCATATTGTTGTTACCGTTAAGGGGGGGAGGGGACTTAGGAGACGGAGACTGGGACTCAATGCTGGGAATCACCCCTGCCTTGGGCCTCAGCCCTCGATTCAACTAAGTTTGTATGGTCTTTTCCCCTTCCATTTTTCGTTTCCTTCTCTACTCCAAACCCTTCTAGTACTATGCACTGCCTAAGGTGTGAGATCCGTGGAGAGCCATGGGCACGATATTCCCATGTTTAGTTGTCTAGCCCTAACTCCTTAAGGGGACCCTGAAGGGTGGACTGTTTCTCTCCCAAACATACTCTAGGCTTGACATAGCCAGTAATGAAGACTATGATGTAGTAACAGTAAGGGATCACCCTTACCTTGGACCTCAGCCCTCACCTCAATTCCTTTTCCTTCTGTTCTTCATCCCTTCTCTCCACTTACCCTAATCATTAACTCATTATTACCCTTTTACCACAATATTTTGTCATAATCCTGTGTCACTTTTGGTGTATGTTACACTTGTTTGTTTTGTCCAATGACCATTCTGGAAATCAACACCTTGTGAACCAAATAAATTTCTTACCTGGACCCTATCGCTATATTTTGAATATGCCGCTAATGACCTCAGAAGTTGATACATCATTTTTTCAATAAATAAACAAACAGGAACAGTGCAATGCTACGCCATTTCCTCTAGGGGCTGCATAAGTCCTCCACCAATAGTAACAAGCTTACTTTCCATAGACATTACCTCCAGTTTAATGTTTACATTGGCAGCGAGTCCCTGAGCGACCATATCAACCTCTCCCCTGCTAATGTCAGAATTGTTGACGTCTAGGCCATCCTTCCAAACGCTGCCATTCCACAGCCTAATGTCCTCTATGTGCCCAACCTGGTCATGATCGAACAAACTGCTCTGCACAGTCATTCACTCATGCGAATTGTGACGGCTCCCATAACGTATTTTATAGACTGTATACTCTAAAAATTGTCCTCTGTAGGCATACCTGGAAACATAGGTGTCATTATAAAGTCCATCCTCTACAGACACAGTTTCCAGGTAAATTTCCTCTT